TTGTGCAGTGCCCCGCCTCTGTGTTTTGCACCGTACGCAACTGAGCAAAATAACTACCATCATCCACTCCGTAATATTATCCTCTTAGCAAGGTATGACTGCTTCATGTGATCCCCTTACTCGTACCTCAAGAGTTTTGCTTTCATGAAAAGAAGAATAGCTAGTCTGTTGAGAAGTAATGGTAGTCTCGACCAGTCTAACTACAAACACTATCGCTCTCTTTTTAACTACAGTATAACTACACAGTATAACTACACACACACACACACACACACTCTCTCTCTCTCTCTCTCCCTCACCCTCTCCCTCTCTCTCTCTCTCTCTCTCAGTATAACTACACACTACCACTAACCAAATAGGGAGGGGAGTTTGTATAATGCTCCTGACAGTACGATGTTATTTATTGCTGTTCTGTAGAGTCTGTACACATAGGTGAGTACAGGTGACTCCAGGGGCGGTTTTTCCGCTTTTCTGACCTCACCTCACAGCGGGATGCGGGCTGGAGATGGGGCATGACGTCATGACTGGTAGGGGTGGAAACCTGCTGCGATGATGTTATTGGGGTTACTGCAGTTTACTGTGCGTGCGCGAGAGTTGGTTTGGTGTGGTTTGTGCTGGTTTAGGTCGGTTTTATCCAGATATCGTGTGACTTGATGTGTTACGCAGCGAAAGGGGGGTCATCCGGCTATACAGATACAGAAGGCTTGGTCTCTTTCGTCTTTAATCGGGCAGTCGTACAGTTTTGATGCCGCAGAAATGTTCAAGCAGGTTGTAACAGACCAATCGACGACAAGGATCTAAGAGTAAGACAATGTACTAGTATTCTCTATTTGAATTTGAGCAGGGCACACACACGACTACCCCCCCCCCCCCCGAATGTCCTCAGTTTGTGGTCGTAAGACAATCGTAAGACGTGCGTGACCATGACTTTATTGATAGAATATTGATATGTGTCTTAGATCAAACTAATGCACCCGTTTATACTTCGACATTCTGCGATTTCGTCGTGAAAAATATCGTACGTGCATCGTACGATGCTTGTGACCTTGAATTTAAGGGCGTGTCCCGTCTTCTCTCTGACTCAGCTGACACGACCCACTTGTTGGCTGCCTTCTTCCGACAGTCTCCAGTCTTACTAACGCCGTGTTTCTAATAACAACGATAAGGTGTAACACAAGTCTGTCCGAAGTCGCCAGTGGGGTGATGTACGGTATGGCAAGAATGTGTCAACTTTCCTTCGTACTGTTTCTAGAAAATCAATCTCAATTTCAAGGCCATAGCTAGAACATATAGCCTGAAATGCTTAATTTGTGAAGTGAGACAATCACACACCAAGACAGCTGGTAGCAACACCATCATTTTTAACGCTTTGTATCACATGTTTCGTCCTCAAACGGGACTGGTTTCATCTGTCGTTGTATGGGTCTGGCATCCAGGCTATGTGCTTTTTAGGAAACAATTTCCAATTTCGTGACCATCGCTAGTCTAAAATAATGCATTTGTGAAAAAGTGAGGGAATCCTATACCGACAAAGCTGCAGATTCAACAAAAGAAACTACTGTATGTCAAGGACATTTTTCTAGCGCGACAGATGAAAACAACCGAGAGTAATGAAGACCGGGGGACACCTTGTCGCTGCAAGATGTTTACCCTTCGTTTTGCTTGGCCACCGTTAGCCCGATAACCATCTCAGAAAAACGCGTCGAATTCCTTCCCCGGGTTTGTCGACAACCGACTTCCAAAGCGACGCGAACCAGCCGGAGTTGGGAACATGTCAGGGTCACTGTGAGGTCACGGAAGAGAGCGGGTGAAGAATTGGCCGGAGAGGTCCTGAGATTGTCCAGGGACATGAGGGATGGCCTCAAGGATGATAACAAACAAGAACATGTCTCCTTGTTGATTAAAGCGAAGACTAATTGCTCTCTGAGAGCTTGTACAGACACCTGTACAGGACATACTCTGTCGCGTTGGCTAGTTTGTAGGTGTTGTGTTTAGCAGAAACGGGATGCTTGCAGTGAGGAATGAGCAACGAGAGAAAATCAACAGGTGTGTCATGTAGCCTGGGTGCTAGACTTTTTCAAAGGCCTGCACAGGCCAGCTCCTCGGCTCCAGGGCCTACACAGGCCAGCTCCTCGGCTCCAGGGCCTACACAGGCCAGCTCCTCAGCTCCAGGGCCTACACAGGCCAGCCCCTCGGCTCCAGGGCCACACAGGCCAGCTCCTCGGCTCCAGGGCCTACACAGGCCAGCTCCTCGGCTCCAGGGCCTACACAGGCCAGCCCCTCGGCTCCAGGGCCTACACAGGCCAGCTCCTCGGCTCCAGGGCCTACACAGGCCAGCTCCTCGGCTCCAGGGCCTACACAGGCCAGCTCCTCGGCTCCAGGGCCTACACAGGCCAGCTCCTCGGCTCCAGGGCCTACACAGCCTGGCCAGTTCCTCGGCTCCAAGGCTCACACAGGCGAGCTCCTCAGCTCCAGGACCTACACAGGCCGGCTCCTCGGCTCCAGGGCCTACACAGGCCAGCTCCTCGACTCCAGGGCCTACACAGGCCAGCTCCTGGGTTCCAGGGCCTACACAGGCTAGCTCGCTCTAGGGCCTACACAGGACAGCTCCTCGGCTCCAGGGCCTACCTAGGCTAGCTCCTCGGCTCCAGGGCCTATATGGGGCATGGGTCCTATACATAGCTACACAAGCTAGCTCCAAGGCTCAGGGCCTACACAGGCGAGCTCCTCGGCTCCAGGACCTACACAGGCCAGCTCCTCGGCTCCAGGGCCTACACAGGCCAGCTCCTCGGCTCCAGGGCCTACACAGGGTCTGGGTTCCAGGCTACGTGTATCTCTACACAGCATTACGTTCTATTCTTCACAAAAAGAGTGAAAATTCGCTCCACGAGTGAAAGACGGTGTGTTTTTACTTCGTTATCACGGAGCTACGGCAAAGTTTGAGGTTGCCGCCATTCGAAGGTCGCAGGCCATTATAAAACGAACAAAGTCCATTACCGGTAGTAAACAAACAAAGTTTGTCACCAGCGCACTTTGCAAATTTGTAATTGTAAACCAGTTACTGTCAAGTGGGCGGCACCAGGCCATTATAATTAATTGTTTTTTTTGTCTCAAACGAATCCACGTACTGAATAGGTACAAATCGTTGTGCCCTGTGTTAAAAACAACATTGTAAATATCAGAGAGAAGCCGGCTTGTCTTGACATCTTTACGGGTTGAGAAGTGACCCGAATACAAGGGGTTGGCAACGTATCCATTCACCGGGTCGCATCTGGCAATTATAACCTAATGATGCATTCACAATCCGATACAACGAGTCTTTTCGAAGGTGTGAAACGATTGACATTTGTCTACATGACATGAACACACACATATGGAGTTTCCAACTCACGCATTTACGCAAAGTCGTCAAAGAAGAAAAATTAGTTTCTGGTGATCAGGTGTTAAAAGGATAACTAATGTACCTCTGAAAAGTGATAAAAAGGATATACGAAGGACAGAAACACGCCAATGGTCATAACGCCAGAGGGTATGTGTGAAAGTAAAATTGGAGCGTACGTGAGCACACACATATTATGGACCCAAAACTAGAACCCAATCCCCTGTTCTTTAACCAGGCATAGAGAAGTTTGTGGATCGAAGTTTTACAAAAAAGACTCGCCCTTAAGGTTGATGTGCTCATTGCTGGGACACTTCTTGTCGAAGGACGTGCCCTACTTTGCAAGTTTTGACTGTGATTAGAGTTTTCTCAAACTTTGGTGGCGAGAGTATATGTACCTCATAGACAGAATATTCTGTAAAATGTGTCTTAGTTCACGCAAGGATATCTGTATCTTTGTTGGTGGTCGCTCCGTATTAATGATTATCAAAACAATCGTTACCAGAACGACCTTAAGGGATCGACCACTAACAATGTCGGGGATGGTACAGTAGATCGGTGACATTTTTTTCGCATTTTTTTGTAGAAGTCCGCAAACTTTTTTTCAATTCAAAAAATCAAAATTTATATTTTTCTATTCCAACTTTCAATACGTTTGACCAAATTAATGGTGCACCTTGAATCTTTTTCATCCCTTTCTCTCACCCCCACCCCTCACCATCGTACATGGTTCGCCCCTAACACATACTAAGTAATTATAAGTGGCGTATGCTGGGCTTGTAGGGGGCGTGGCAGGGGTGTGAGGGGGCACAGGGCGTCTACTCTCATCTAGGCAGAGGTTTAGGCCTCGGATTATTGTGGACGTGTTTTTAAGCGTTTTATCGGGCTTGCTTTTTGTACTGGTATCTTGTTTTTTCACCAGCCAAAGTTAAGGTGGCATATTGGAAACTGCCCTGCCAATGATACTGTCTCGTAGCCTTGGTACCAGACTGTTTCCAGGGGATACACACGAGTTGGCTCGGCTCGAGCGAGGGCCAACATGCCTCCAAAGAAATTATACCACGGCCCCCCTCAGTTATGCCCTGATCCAAAAGTATACCACAGACCCGTCCTGATCCTGGACCTAGTCCGTGCTATGAGTCTGGCACCCAGGCTACCAGTCTTGCCAATTTGATAGTCTCTAACAGACTACGCTGGCTATGTTTCCAGGGGAGTTCAGCCGCCTTGGGGTTTGACACAGGCCGTGGAGAGAAAGAAACAACCTTCCGCGGCCGGACTCCACTGGCCAATTTTACTCTCCTTTTTGCCGAATTCTACGATCCGTATTGCCGTAGAAAGGCCTGGTGGAGGCTACCAATTTGATAATACTGTGTCTCAGTTGCAGCCACCAAAAGATCTGCTTGCAGATCTTAGTTAAGACTTACTCGTTGACTTGTTAGTTCTTGAACTGTGTCATTTTTTTCGGTTTGTGTCATGTATCCTTTTGTGAAATGCATTAATATTTTTTAAATAACATTAAACGGTATGCCGAAACAAAATAACTCTCATTGTATGCAGACAAAGTATCTCTCTGATCTCAGTTTCAACAATCAATCAAACCACGTGAAAAAAAAAAACTTACTGGGGTAGTATGCCCGGAGCACGTTGTTGTCGGCGTCGGCGCCTCCCGGCTGGTCCGGAGTGAGGCTGTTCTGCTTCGCGGTGGCGTTCGCCTCGTCATCGTACACCACCAGGATCCCGAACAACACGATAAACACAACCTGGGGGAGGGAAAAGAAAGAGAAGATACGGAGGAAAAGTTACCCAGAGTAAACAGCGGTGAAGGAATATCCCGTGAAAACTCACACACATGTACAGTGTGGGAGAGGCAAATATAGTCCAAGGTACACAAGCAACAGGCACGCGTGTGATGCTGGGCAAACAAACTGGATCCGACTGCTTAGGACGCTTACCACAAAAACAACTTCTTAGCCCAGCCCCCTTCGCACTTAGCATGAAAAGTACAGCACCGAGAGCGAAACGTACGGGCCTTTTTCGAGGTCGCGAATTCGAAGAAGGAAAATTGTTGTTCTACTACCGAGTGAGGAAAGTTCAGACGTTGGTCGGTATTTTTTTCGAGGCCGACTAGCCGAATTTTCAACCAGCTGGTAGAAAATTTTCCCTTCCGTAATAACATTTTCCACCCAAATTTCCCGGTCAGTTCAAAGCTAGCAGCAAATAATTGCCTTAATAAAGTGCTCCCACGGCTATTATCACCATTTAAGTTGTTTTTCGTCACGTCGCGTACGCCCACATTGTACACCAATCAGCACCAAATCTACAAACACCACCCATTCAAAGTCTATCATTAAGTAAACCTACCTCAAATATGAGCAGAATGGCCGTTAGCTTGCCTCGCCTCCAAGCCATGTTGTCTTCGCTGCTGTCCTAGGTTTGAATATCGCCACTGGTTGAGTGTCCGTACACTGAGAGAGCGCTCTGAAGCCCGTCCGGTCTTGTCGCTAGGTTAGTCTGCCTTGGTCTGCGTCCTACAGCCTTGAGTCCGTCCGACTCCTGTTGGTGAGAGTAAAACGTGTCAGCGCGTTCGCTGACGCGTGATTCGGCATGTTAAGAAGGTCCCAGGAAGAGCCTGTGGGCATGCGTCCAGAATATCGGAGACCGGACAACACTGGTTTGGTTGGGACGGGTGCCGTCTCTTTCTCTGTCACGCGATGTCCGACAACAAAACAGCAAGACTCGAGAAGGTGTATAAAGAATATAGCCTCTACCAGGCTTCGGGAGGCGGCTGGATAGAGTAGAAATCGGCTAAATAGAGAGATCATGCCAGGGGAGTTGGTCTGCTGGAGAGTACAGTTTGCCGCTCCCGGGAGCATGCTATCTCTCTATTCGGCCGATTTCTACTCTTTCCAGCCTCCTCCCGAAGCCTGCCGAGGCTACTACTATGAATATAGAGAACTTCATTGACACAACAAAAGTGCAGCGACTTTCGTAAGGTCTATAACTAGACTTACACACAGACACGAGTACAAAAGAATTAACCTACGAACAAAACTATAGATGGACCAACTTAATTATACCACTTGTTCTAAGGTCTAAACATTCTTTGATATACTAGTATTTACCTATTTGTACACGATAAGGGTAAGAAGAAGAACAGGGGTTAGAAATAGGAGACAGCTTAGCAGAGTCAAGTGTGCAGTTTGTTGCAGGTCGTATTTTTTCTTCGAGAAAGCGTTACTCTCAGGCGCCCTGCCTGCATACCTTAGATGTATCTATTTTCAAATTACACCTTAGAAAGATGTGAAACATGTTATCTGGATCTAATCAGTACGATCTCTGCCTCGGGGAGGTGGTATGAAATGTTCCAAGCCGTTAACAACAAACTGTGGACCGTGTCCGGCTAAAAACAACAACATATGCTACATATGTGTTAAACAGGTATTTAACCACGCTAATTATGAGTATCATTTACGTGTAATAGCCAAGAAAGTGAGAATAGAAACAGAAAATATCCTCCAGGTTTCTTTTCGAGAAACAAGCATCGCCAACTAGGTGTACTTTTGACGAGTTAAGACTACAAGGATCGTAAACAACTAGTGTCCCCAGCCGGACAAAGTGTTTAAGTAATTTTCCAATAAGTGATAATCTATACGTTGTTGAACAAAATGAAGTAGCTATCAATTAGGTCTCGCGGTAACATATCATCAACTCAATAGTGATTTATGTTAACCATTATCACTTTCAGTCACACCACACAAACACGTGGACTTATATAGCCTCTGCCAGGCTTCGTTAGGTGGCTGGAAAGAGTAGAAATTTGCGGCAAACTGTACTCCCCAGCCGACCAAACTCCCTCGGCATGTTATCTCTCTATTTGGCCAGTTTCTACTCTTCCCAGCCCCCTCCCGAAGCCTGGTAGAGGATATGACAAGTAAGCAATTGTGAAGTATGCCTGTCGTATACAGACAACAGTGTATGAATAAAAATTTGAATGGATGGATACAAGTACAGTGGCTACTATAGGCAACAAAACATGCAATACACAGATACACATGGACGCAGTTGGATCAGTCAAGCAGAAACATATCTGAAAACTGGCAACACAGCAAGATAACAACGATGTAAACATGTGTGAAAAAAAGGGTGTCTAAACGGTAAAGAATCGACCTAATGGTCTGGCTAACACGGCACATCCGCGCACTCTGCGTCACTGAGGCGGGGTGGGGTTAGCCTGTACCAGGATTCGGGAGGCGGCTGAAAGAGTAGAAATTGGCCAAATAGAGAGAACACTAGCCTCTACCAGGCTTCGGGAGGCGGCTGGAAAGAGTAGAACTTTGCCAAATAGAGAGATAACATGCCAGGGGAGTTGGTCCGGTAGAGAATACAGCCTTTGCCGCACCCGAACTGTACTCTCTAGTGGACCAACTCCCCTGGCATGTTATCTCTCTATTTGGCCAATTTCTACTCTTTCCAGCCGCCTCCCGAAGCCTGGTAGAGGCTATAGGGTGGGGTCGCTGTTGTTCCCTCCGGCGCAGGTAACGCTACAGGTGGGGTGGAGGGGTCGGGAAGAATGTCAGCCTCACAGCGGGACGCTACGCCACTTAAAGTTCATCCAAAGGTCTTTCAACTCTACCCCAGTTCTTGTATCATGTTGTTGTTCTTTTATAAACACTTGGAGACACACAAAATGGAGCCTGATTGGCGTTGATATTAATGATTAGCAATCATAACAAACTTAAAGAAACACAATGTACATGTGTTTACGTACATCACTGATTGACTGATACGTCTCCATTATTGCCTACTGGATTCTTTCTATTGTCTGATTATATAGTTTGATTGACTGATATAGAACAGAGCTATATATATAAAGGAGTCTTTTTGTTCTAGCTAAGAGGTGTGGGATGGATATGATGTCTTTGTATCTGTGTGTATGCCCTGTATCTTTAGATCTGAAAAGGGGACAAGGTCGTATAGGGGGTGGTCATCCTGTAGTATTTGCTTCAACGATTGAGCCAACCTTCTATTCTTTAAGATACAGACGTTAATCGCCATACGTACAAGTATGTCAGTCTTAAGAGATCATTTGATTTAAGAGAGCAATTAAGTAATATACATGTACATTTATCATATTATATAGAGCACTCCAAACTAGTATAAGCTAACCTTCGGGCGCTAGGAGAGGGAGGGGAGGACAAGTTCCACTACAGTGGGCCAAGCGTGAAGTTCTAGTAGCCTCCATAGCATGCCAAGAACTGTTTTTTTTTTAGGGGGGGGGTCTTCAGGGTCTTTGGGAGCTTTTATGTGCTATTTTCTGATTGCATATAGACAACATAGCTGGCCTGGCTAATCAGAAAACTGCCGAAGACCACCAAACCCCCAGTTCTATAAGCCTGCTACGGAGGCTAGAGTTCCAATCACTGTTTACTTCTACGCAGAAAGAAGGGATGCCGTGAAGTTGTCTGTATGGGCTGTATGTGTTTTGGAATTTACATCAAACTGTGTCTACCCCGGGTGCGCCTCTGGGTAGGCTTAACATTAAGGGTACCGAACTTTCCATGATGGGACTCCCTGCTGGGATGATTGTAGTATCAGTCGTACTGGAGTCAAAGGGCAGGGAAAAGACACAAGACAACTAATACACACCTGGCGAATAGGAGAAACAAAATAGGTAGTTTTACTTGAAGCGTTTGAAATGGACCCAAGCAAGCTACATGAGCCGTCTCTCTATCTTCTTATACCAACAGTAAAATAGCTAAAACCAGCCTACGATACGAAGTAAGCAACCGTTTTTCGTCAGCGACATAGCATGATTTTTTTTGCCATGACATCAGTATTCAACTATACAACTAACTATCAAAAACAATGACCAGAAAATTGACTTGGAAATTGTACTGTTTTGGGTACCATTAAGCAGAAAGCATTCCACTGTGGCTTTAGATGGTCAGGTTGTAACAGGCAAAGTGACAGGACTCCCCGACGCCCTGTTTTGTTCGTCTAGTTCTGACCAGATTGGCAGAAGCCGGTGGTGTGTTGGGGGCGTGGACTTGTGGGCGGTGTCAAGATGAGGTCACACTCTTCGTTGTATGTCGTCGTACGATTTTGATGTAGGATTTTTAAGAAGGCTAAGACAGAACCAGGACAGACAAGGATCTAAGGCAGAATTTTCCTTTAACAAGACGGCTGAATTTTGTACGTGGTATCTAGCCTCTACCAGACTTCGGGAGGCGACTGGAAAGAGTAGAAATTGGCCAAAAAGACAGATAACATGCCAGGGGAGTTGGTTCGCGGTAAAGAGTACAGGTTGCCACCAAGGGAGCCGCATCCCAAAGCCTGGCTATGCTTTATATGCATGACTGTCCCAAGAAGGCAGTCAACGATCTTACGACGCATGACCTGTGTGACTGGAGCCACAGCATGTGGTTTCTCAACGTTTGATTCCAGGTCGTCGGTTTCGCTGTAAAAGCGGTGTGTCAATGTCGTCATTTTCTAGTTAGAACTAGCTCAAACCGCTCCTTACTGCTTACGCTGTGGGAATCTGACGAAAGCCGCTCGTTTGTTTGGGACTGGTTAAAACTGGTGGCGCACAGGTACGCGTGACTTGGGTGAAATCAACCGGACCAGTGCATCGATATCGATGTTCTAGATAGAACTGGCTGTACGTTATTCTCGTGAAGTTTTGAGTTAGAACTGGCTACGGTCTGATACATCCCTACATTCCGACGCACCTTATGTTCTGACACCCCAATATTCTGACACCCCAATATTCTGACACCCCAATATTCTGACAACCCAATATTCTGACACACCATGTTCCAATACCACTAGGGTGTAGAAAAAACGTAGCGCCATCTAGCGATCAATCGTAACGATGCAATACGTCACTTTACTTCTTGTTCAGCCAATAAAGCTTCTTTACGATGTATCATGTCGTCATACACGAACTTGACATTCACAAAGAAGATACTGCAAGCCGTCTTTAAGAAAATCCTATTACACAACTTCCCCAAAGTCATTGCCAACTCAAAGTGACAGACACGAGGCAGCTGGGCCGCAGAATGTCGGAATCGGACGTGATCTTGACGAGGTATTTCCCCGCGGATTTTTACCCAAACCACGCAAGGTCGGCAGACCGAAGGACGAATGTTTAGGTCTGTCGCGCAAAATGTCTGGAGTTGCTGCACACACGTACAAATTGAACATGGACTTAACTTAAGCTTAGTAGTTGACTTTTGCCGGTGTCTTCGTATCTTTTGATCAAGCCAAATGAAATGGAACACGCGTTCTGTTCGAATTACGTCAGATCGAACATGATTCGGGTTCGAAAGAAGGTAGGAAGATTGGGGCCCAAATCTGACCACCTCATACTACGCAATATCAGCAGACCGAAGGACAAATGCTTAAGTCTGGTGTACAATATGTCTGGATTTGCTGCATACACGTACAAGTTGAACACCGTGAATTAAGCTTAGTAGATGACTTTGACTGTGATACCAGTGTCTTTAGAACCAGGCCAAATGGAACACGCGTTCGGTTCTAATTACGTCAGATCG